GAGCGAATGCTCCACGAATGCCCCGAATATCCGTAGACCTCCACCTTTTAAGGGCAAGTCTGGGCGGAGAAAGTAGTTCTCCGAGCCAAGGTGAAGGGGCTGGTACATGCCCCATGGCGAGGGCGAATAGGGGTGAAAGGAAGAGCATCAGGGGGCAACGAGAACATGACAATATCATTATACCAACCGAAGGACACACTAACTTTGCTGTCCCTATCAATCTGCATATACTGTCGTCTCATATCATCAAGAGCGGTCGATGACGTTGCTAGGTTGTGGCCTCGTCTATGTTACAGGGACAGTGGGAATCCTGCACAACAAAGTGGAAACGTACAAGGAGAAGCGTTAATGTGAGACGTGCGCATTTGTGTTCTTTGGGTCCTTATCTGTAGCAGCGCACGTACCGTTGTGCAGCTGGGGTCCAGGCGTTCGCATTGGTACGCTGCAGACGTAGATGTTCGGGTTCCCAATACGGTACTTGAAAGATGCATAAGATGGCGCTCGCGCTCCCCCCTAAAAAAATTTTGAAGTCAGGATGCACCGGACCTGAGGAGAAGAGTTTTCTTCCTTTGTCTGTCCTCCTCTCATTATTCATGTAAAGTAAGAATCGGTAAACGTATACATACCATGTTTGAATGGCAATCGAAGATTCTGGATCTCACCCTCGGACGAACTAGCTGGCAACTTTCCCTAATTTCGAAATGTTGCCATTACAATGGTTTGGACTTGCTGGATACCGCATCTGTTATTACTGGAGAAGGCGCTGTTATGAGATAGGCGGCACGTTCTGCTTCGTCAGGGAACCATTTACCTCTTAGTTGATATACGTTGCAAGGAGATCTTCCTTATATGTGACGGTTCGCCAACTGTCGGAGACGTGGTACCGAATGACGGTTTCGCTGAATCTCTCTTCGAACGGGTAGAGAGACTCGTGACCGAGATTTGAAGTCTGGGCCAAACTAAAAATCATTCCTTATAGATACTTCTCAGGTTCACAATGTTGAATAACGTTAAACCCGCCATGAATGCATCTCATTTTTTGGTCTTACAGTTTTTCCCAATTGCTAACGTCCGTTTCTCGAAACTATACTTCCGTTTTCAAAACTATATGAACAAATCCCAAAACTCTTCAACCTTTGCACAAAACTTAATATCTGATTTCACTGCTAACGTACGAAAATCGAATCGCGAAGCGCGATTTTAATATCTTTCCGTACCTTTTTCGAAACCTAAAGTACGGAAAAGGATAACAAGACCGATTCGACGAGTGCGGACGATGTATCCATGGCTGACGACAGCAATCTCTATCCTCCAAAATTCGTTCCACCCAATCACAGAGGTTTTCTCATCGTCCCGAGTTGTCAGAGCTAATTGCTCCTTCTCAAGCGTTGAAATAGTTTCTTACGTCGATAGAGGAATGAAATTGGCAGGCAATAATAATGCTGACAACTATTCAGAAAAGTCCGAAATACTCGATCCTCAGTACTTACTTGCGATTAAGTTATGTTACAATATAATCAACTACAAAGGGTTGAAAAGAGAGAAAAGAGGTCATTTTTGTTCATCGTAAGTTACAAAATGTTTATGACCTTGGTACCCATTTTTGTTCGTAGATATGAGTGTTCATTGCGAAAATCCCATGTTATGATCTCCAAATCTCCAAATGCTCGCTCTATTGGCTCGTTGAGGGGTTTTCGAACGGATACAACGCCCTGCACCCTTTTGAATGACGGCACAAGTCAAGTGACTTCTCAGAGTAACAGTCTATCCTTATTAGGGTGTGGGGGTGGGATAGTAATGGGCTCGACCGTCATAACCTGTGATCTGTTGAGGAGCAGAAGCTTGCAAATTCCCGTTCAACGAAGGCGAGAGGGGAAGAATGGGAGGGGGGGGATGAGTTTGTGGGCTTTCAAGTAGCACCTCGTATCTCTCGCGAAATAATCTTGATGGGCGGTTTGATGGTTTTTACAGGATTAACTCTATGCTGGTTTGATCGTGGTTAATCACTGTTGAAGCGCCCGCCGTATGCACATCCACTCAAAAACCAAGCCAGGATTGAAGAATTTGTCAGAAAATAAGTTGAGGACACGATGATAATTACTCATTGTATGATCTGAAAAACTGTAAAAATATTTTATAAACAGCAAATATCGCAGAGAGAAGCGTCAGTGCATTGGCACGAGCACTTCATCGGCCAAATATAGCGCCATCTATTATATTTAAAATTCGCATACGGCATACGTGCCAAACGTCCTTCACCTAAGCATATTTTCCAACACATTGCTGGTGTCCTTTAGAACGAATTTAAGGCCCTCGTGTCAAAACTTAACGTCCTTGCCTCAAAAAGTAACGTACGCTCCATTGGAAGACAAAGGGTAGGTTCTGGTCGATTTGACCAGGTACGGCTGACAGGGCGGGCATCGATCCTCGAGAATCGTCGTCTTCCCATTCACAGTAATGGATCGTCCTGAGAGTTTTGACGAAGGTGCCTTAAGTTTTGATTCCCGGTACGTTAGAAATTGATCGTAGGACGTTCTGTTTTGACTTTTTGGGAACAGAAAGCGAATCTCGACAGCAGTACGTACGGTTTTGGCATGGGCACGTTAAGTTTTGGAAGTCATCATTCAGTGAGAAATCGCAGATACGCATATGAGAGCATTGTGCATAACTCTAACCTGGTCTATAGTTGCGAGAATCTCACATAATTCTCTCGATCCCGTACGTCCAACATGGAGTCTCAACGGTTATATTGAAGCGGATCATGAAAACACTTGACATATTAAGCTCCAAAATAAAAGAGAAACCAATGTTTGGACTCCAGTAGTCTTCGTGACCCTTCGCGAGAAAAGTCTCTTCGATGTGAAATAATTTTCACCTATCATTATAAATTGTGTCTATTGTTGCTTACAATTCCTTTTAGTGGATTTCTTTTCGTTTCCATACTAGAAGCAGTGACATGCACGTGTATATTATCAATATATATTCATGGTTCAGGAGAGTTGGAGTTTTCTTCTCAGTCTCACATTATCGTCTTTTTATTTTCTTTACGTATGATACGTAAGCGAGAAATCTATAACGAGAAGGAATACGAAAGTTCCCGAACTATGCATCTTATCGCATGACGTTAATTTGAGTTTAAAAAATGAGAGAAACCGGCTGAAGGGACTCTTTCTGCTTCGATTCCAGCCTCCTAAAGAGATATTTTTGTAACTGGAATGCATAATGAGATTGGGGGAATCTTCCGAAGAATAACTTTCGCCGTCTCCTATTGACTGTCTATAGACATTCATTACCCCGTACGTTAGAATATTGAAGAACGTACGTTGATTTTGATAAGGGGACGCACTTTTGACTGACGGACGCATGGATATGAGAAAAGAGCGCAGAGTTTTGCGGATCGTACGTTAAGTTTTGAAATATGTCCATCAAGATATGAAATAGGGTTCCAGCAATTGGGAAAAACTGTAATAAGCTTCCCCTTCATTTCCACCCTTTGATTACACTTTTGCGGTTTAAAAAAATGGAGGATTCTTCCCGTCGAGTCTTTTCTAAAAACCACTTGAATTCGTAGAAGGTAAGATGGACATGTTAACTGCGTTAAGCATTGAGATATGAAAAAGTTTGAATAACACAGATACCACAATATCTCCATTGCAACCAAAATTCATTCTCGAAAGACGTGCATGGCAAAAATGCGACTTCAGTCCACAGAGGTGAAAAAAAGTAATATCCTCCAAGGAAGTTCTCGGACCCAGCAGGTTAACACATTTACCGAGCATTTAATCAAAATTGTTCAAATTCCTGGTTGTACTTCTTTTTAGTGATGAGTCTTTGTACGAATCAATACTCTCTTGGTTAAAATGTGTAGATGAAAAAAGGCTTACAACTGAGATGTAGAAAAAAAAATGATTGAAATGAAATATAGGGCTGAAATTACTCGTTTTGTCGGTGCCAAAAATTAACATTCAGGAAGTGAGAGGAGAATGGATGGAGTAAAATCCTGAAAATTAGAAGTGTATACCACAATTGATGAATTATATATTTCAGACGACGGAAGAGAAAGGTTGGTTCGATGAGACTGTTATGTCTTTGAACAAAAGACCTTTGCCTCAATGTGGATATGACAATCCCAAGTGATTACTATCTGAAATGTTCAATTTTTCGTTTCTTCCTCATTCCTTGTCTGATTGCAAAAAATATATAGTTGAACTTCACTTCCAGGCTAATGCAGGGATCATTGCCAAACCTGACCGAAATAGAATAATGTATTATGCGCATTGATTGTCAAAACCCTTTCATTATACAGACAGCAATATCTATAATTTAAAGTATGAATACTTATAGTTTTCAGGTTTCTTTTGTGACAATGAAGTAGGCTCCTATATCGGACTTAATCCAGATGTCATTTGGGATTATGCTGTGAAACTCGACTGGCCCTGTCGAGACTGTGCACACTATCGAAACACATATTGCTTCTCGAAGCTGAACGTGATAATATCAGGGCAATCCTTTCAGAGGAAATCGGGAACAAGTAGAGTAGTGAAATGCTCATCTTCGAGAGGGATCACACGAAGAAGCTGAAGATGCTAAGCATCTATCTATAACATCACTTTGTCAGAGAAGACAATTTCGAATCCTGCTCTCTGAGCTTCAATTTGCGGGCTGTAGTTACGGAGAATGCCATCCCCTGGGATCCCTGAACCCAACGCTTCCGTCTTCGTCTGCTCCAGTTGAAGAGGTTCTCTCCCTGTCAGGAAGTAATGGATGAATTGGGTCCCGAATGGATACTGTGGTAAGAAGCTCAAACTCACAAGTGATGACGGCCATTTTCTTTCTCCCCAGTTTTTTCTTCGGCTTCCTCCAACCGTACAAGACCAAGTCCAACATCCACTCCAACACTACTAGAACGGAGACGAAGGACAGACCAGCGTAGAGGCCAAGCAGTACGCCTAGTGTACCGATGAAGCCCACTACCTGTTCGAATAGAAAACTTCCCCTTTTTAAATCTCTGGAATGGCCTAACATTTTTTAGCCAGGTAGCGCTACGTAAGGATGGCTTCGATCATGCTGAAAGACAAATGGTTTTCATCGATCTCTTGAATCACATTTAGGTGGAGGTCTTGAATATTTTCAAAGGAAAATATAGGGCGATCTGGGAATTGAAGGGATCCATATATGATGCCTTGTCTAATCCCAAGTTTTCCCGCCTATTAAGCAGTAATTGAGAAAATGAAAAATGACAGAATTTCTCATTTTTCATGAAGTATATACATTTTTTGGTTGTAAATAATTAAAGTTTAATTGCGCAGTATATCATTTTTAAAGTTTCCTAACTCGAAACTTTCTCGCCCTAAACTATTTGAGATATCTTGGTAAATGGAGGGTAAGTTGATCGTTTTAACAAGAGGATAATGTATAGTCAATTCATACAAGAGAAACGAGTTTGTTATTGCTCAAAGGCTCATCCTTCCCATGATTAATGAACACATGAGTAAAGTAAAAAATCTGTCTTCACAGTCCTGATGGGTTACATGTCAAGGATGTCCAGTGGGGATTTTGTCTCTGTCACCTCTCTCTATGCTGCACTTTGACCTGTCCGTGGATGAGAGAAAGTAGTCATCGTACTACATTTGATCTTTTTGCGTCAATTTTCAAGCTCACGTGCAGGGTTGAGGGAAGAAGCAAGAAGTCTCCTCATCCATATTGATGTTCTTCAGGATGTCCACGGACTTCATGTGAGCTTTCCGTGAGATATTAAAGGAAAAATTGTGGTTACAACTTCCGTATCGGCTTTGAAAGGTCTCCATCGCTATGTTTGAAGTTTTCAGAGACGAAAGAATCGGCTTAACCGAAAAAACCCAAGGCGAAAAGCTCTTACCTTGCCTGTTGCAATATTGCGAAACGTTCACTTCGTTTTGCAGAAGAGGAGACTCCAAGTAGCACTGAGTTGTTGCATTTTGATGTATGCGCCAAAGCGTGTACAGTTCCTGACAGATGGGGGAGGGGGGCCAAGAAACATATACAGTATATGAAATGAGGGAAAAGAAAGGCCTTCCACCGATACAACCAAATGAGAAATTCTCACAACTATCGTGTGAAGTGTCTAAGATGAACATGTATTTATTTGCAATGAAGGTATGATTTCCTACAAAGGGATTAAGTCGCTCTATAAAATATGATTCACGAAATCTCCGTATACCTTTTTGGAATATTTGTTTTGATCTGAAACTTTGAAAATCCTTTTGTCGAAGCGTTCTTGTACATAGGAATCGAAGGCGCAATCCCCTCCTGTAACTAGACGAAGGCGTTCAAGACTCATCTTCCTCACGCCAACGTATGAATTCACATTGAGGCCGACGTTAAAGCCCTCCCCGAGGGGGTCGGGCTTGGCCTTCGGATGGTGGAGGGCGGTACGGAATCCTTTATCCTGGGCGAGGAGGACCAACTCGTTCGAGGCGTTCCAGACCAGCCTCAGGTGCAGCCAGCCCTGTGCTGGGATAGAGTCGCTGAGATCCGCATCGGTTTGCGCCGTCATTTCATGGGCGAGGTGATCTCACCGATGACCCAGACCGGCTGACGCGTTTGTCGCCCTTGTAGTTTGAGTCGTTCTTGACCCTGAAGTCGCTGGAAATATGAAACAGTTCCAAAACATTAGAAGTACCTACTCGTTTTAGTTTTCATGAAAGCTTCTGGTGATTGATGAAATGTCTTTCTTTCACTGAGTGAGTAGAATGGATTCACTCGTTCTTTGCATGGTATTAATTCTGAATAATCTAAAATTATCCATTGAATGCAACAATATACCTCATACGGTACTTCCTCAGACGAATAATATCAGACACATACTCCGGATTGCAAGGTACATCACTGAAGCTGCAATGCTGTATGGACTTCATGATGTCGCTGACGGCGTCGGCCAGATTTATATATTCCCGGAAGTCGCTCAACGTGTAGAAGCTGGTCAGAAGCAGCGTCGAGAGAAAGTTAAAGTTGAAAATTTTGCTTGATGTTGAAGTTAAAAAAATCAGCAACAAGACTGTTCACGTCTCGTTGCTGGTTTTTCTCGTTCCATGTAGGGAAGAAAGTTTGTTTTATGTCTTTCAGCGCCAGAATTTATGCCAGGAATGCTTGTCATCTGGACTGACAATTCATCAGACTGCACCTACTTTTCGTTTCGTCTCCTGGGTCTACCCGGATCCCATCGGCTTTGAAGATTTTTCAGAATTCGTCGTCGTCGTAGTTCCCTGCCCCTGAAAACTTGTTGGCACCGAACTTAGTCGAGCTCTGGACTCGGCCGTCAGCTGGAGACTGCGCCGTCGAAGAGATCGTTGCCGCCCTATCCAGCGAGGAACCAGAGGTCGCCTATGGAGGATGGTTCATTGAGTACGGAGGATGGTTCATAGATCGCTACAGCTGTATTCCCCGGGTCGAGACAAATTGTGATGAAGCATTGCTTCATGCTGGGAATGTGACAGACGTCTTACACACTGCGTTGCTACATTGCCAGCCAAACTCTCATTCAAGGTGCTAGTCAGATGAGAACTGACACAGCACTGCCCAACAGTCTAATCTATCAGTCCAAGGAATGAAAATAATGTTTGCGATATTGACAGACTCACAAGAAAATCAGTCCGGGAGCTTTGTCGCCAGACCTCGTATTACAGGTCCAGTTGACGCCAACAGAAAATAGATGAAAAAATTATTAAAAAATCAAAATGATCTCTCCGTGTTCAAACTACGAAGATCAGTTTGAAGTAGTCTCGCATGTTGTGTTTAAGTCGGAACGCCTTCTCTCAGCGTTCAGTTGATTTACGCCGAAAAATCTCTTCGTGCTAATACTTTTGAGCGCTACTGTATATTTATTCATTTATTTTCTCCCTTAAGGAACGTAACCCTAGGGGACCAAGTCATTCACACCAGAAAAGAAAATTAGGGAAAGGAATTATGAGGGAATCTTTAAAAAGTCAGAATATCTCTCATTTTGACCAGCACTTTCATTGCCTGAACCCTGCATGCATTCTCACGATTGCGGATGGAAGACTCACAATCCCCGAGAATCTGTTGAGGGTGAAACGTCTGGCGCAAACGGCTTCATCCTCTGCGAACTGGATTGCTGATGTCATTCCCTTCCACACCTGCTCGATGACCACTTTGCTCGGGATACTCTCACCCTCGAGGAATCCCACGAGTCGTTTAATAATTCGAACTGAATTCACCACTCGGGAAACAAGACTTGTAGTACAGGAGGCACAATATCATCCGTGTTTACGGACCAACGGTATTTGCCATGGACGGTAGAAAAACTCAATCCCCTAAGGATATTCTATATTTACCGAAAATAAGTGAAAGGCCGAATTCTCCACTAGCGAGTTACTGCGACGTGAGTGTCGCCACATTTCCTCTACCAAGCTAGCTTGAATGAGGGAAGTGCAATTGCTCCTTGGGGAACAATGTGCTTGTTATTCAGGAAGGGAAAAATAATATTCCCCTAGGAAGCATTTACGTCTCGTGTGTCCTTTCACGCACTGGTCCCACCAACCACTTCTATTATTAGTAGAAGTGGTATCGCTATCGATCAGCTGATCTCATCGCCATATCAGGTCTTGTGCGCTTAATGTCGTTGCTAAGGCAAGGTTGTTCGATGTTAAAGGAAAGGTGGTGTGGGAATGGAGCATCCAGGTTCGTATATGAGTGTCATTCGATAATGGCAATCAGGATGAGGTGATTCTTCCGTGGACATGTTGCAAAAACGAAATGCCCTTCGGCATTAGGCCTATCAGAGACCTCATGTGTCCCATAGCTTATCGATTGATAGAGTAATATTCCCCGTTCCTTTATTGGACGATTGGTAATGGTTAATAATTAAAAATGGTGAAGCTCTTCCGGTCCTATGGTCAGGTGAATTCAATTCAATCTAAATGCAAAACACGCCAAGACGCCCACTTAGGAATACAATTTACAAAAGCGAAAAAATGAATGGGAGCGACACAGCAACATGTCCTCCATCCTGCAAGTGTCACCACGGTAATGCACAAATTGAATCAACGATTGCATTTTTTTTTAACTCCTAGAATCCCTATGTGTTGTATATCGGAAATTCCAAAAGTGATAAAATCCTGCTTGGAAGCTAAGGGGTGAAATAACTTCACTCCACACATACTACGTAGGCTATGGAACATTTTTTTTATTTTACCTAAGAAATTTGCAGAAAAATACCAAGATTACACAATTGAGTTTTTTCCCCTCCCCTTTTTCTCGACGAATTTTAATGTTGTTGTGCTCATTGAACTATATCGGCCTGTCAATAGCGAACGACCAATACATTTTCGATTTCCCTTACTGAATAGATTGGAGGTGATCATATTTCCCCGAGCGATACTATCCAAATAATCTGGGAACCGTGGAAGCACGAACGCCACGGTTGAGTCGATCGCACTAATGACGAACTTTTCCGCATAAACAACTTGGCTTAATGCGACGAATAAGCTGCAGGTCAGGCGACTCCCTTCATCGACGCTCAAAGGACGTAATACATGTAAATAATAACGATATAAATGTGTCATAAATATTACATTAAATGAGGAAACTTGCCATTTTAGTGGAGTTGGCACAAAAAACTGCATAAACGGAAACGTCTCCCTGATGAAAGTAGCACCATTGGTTGTGGAATATTTTCTCGCCGCAAACGGGCGGAGTTTTCATTTTTAACGTTTCCTGCCTCGATCGGAGCGCCGACCTCAGTCTTCCATAATTTGGTCTATGATCGGGGAGTGCGGGGAAGAGGCGGCGAAGAGGGTGGGGGGTGTGACCTTCGCGACGGGCAGTGTAGCTTACCATGTCTCCAACTATCGAAAATGACATCCACACATCGATGGATGCTTTGGGACAGCCCTGATATTTTCTTCTTGCATTGATAATGTGTTACCAAGCCCCGTTCACTTGGCTTTTTTTTCTTTTTCTTTGATCTCCATGTTATTCTTTGGATATCGGCACCGGCATCTTACAAAATGATCATATATGGTATGAGCCAATATAGCAAGAGCAAACACTTTCAGGCTAATTTGATCAGAGTGATTGTTGGAGTTGCTCCAGAGAAGCGATATCAGGAAAACGAGAATGAAATGAATCATATGACTGCATATATTTTTCCCTAGGTCACCCAATAATATTCATTTTTCTTCTCATAAGAAAGACGAGTGGTTATATTTCAAATCAGGCAGGTCCATAGTATTCGTGTCAGATGATGGTCTTTGATTTAAAGAAATACAGACATGGTCCTTCTCTAATGTGGTACCTTATTCACCAGAGTATCAGCAAGAGTTTAAGAGAAAATTTCAGAATTGTGAGAGTCTAAAAAGTGCCACTTGCCGAATCTGGTTTGCTTCACTTTCAATTTCCTGTATCTCCTAAACTCTCTCCAAATGTATATAGTTATCTCAAAATGATGTATCACTTCTTGAAAGTCTACCCTGTGCACACACAAAAAATTTACATTTCTCTGTGCATGCTGTACAGTTCTTGTTAGATACTTTCAAATGCTTGAAGCTGATGCCGTTTTAAATTATACAATTTTGTATGGAGCTTCTTCAGGATCATGAAAGATGGTCACATTTAATTTTTTTCTAATCTCGTACCGAATAATTAGGAAGAAAAGGAAGGTACAACGAAATTAGGGGCTTAAGGCAAGGTTCATCAGAATTCGTTACTTCTCCGATACTAGATACGTTATCATTCGAAAAAAAAAGAATCTAAAGTGTAGGGGAAGCGGAGGGGAAGATAGCACACTTGACCTTGGAGGGTTTGTACCTCATGGTCGTCTTCTCAAAAACCCATGGAGTGAGTCCCGTCATTTCGCTACGAATGGTGACTCTTTAGGGGTTAGTGAAAGTCGGTATTTCGCCATTCAAAATCAAACGAAGGCGAGGAGCTATGATTGTCGCGGCAGAAATGCCCAGCCGGTCTCCACTGTGAAGAATGCAACTGCCTTTGGAAAATCTGGACGCATGGGTTCTGCCATACACGACATTCGTTGGCTTGTTCTGCTGAATTCCCTCCGGATTATCGATGGAATCGAGCTGAACCTTGATCCTGGTACTAAATTAACTATAACTGAAGCCTTCCTCGGATTGATTCAAGATCGACGGATTCCATTTCATCATATGAATCCGAATGTGTCGACCAATACATTTTGTCTCAAGGACATAGCTGTCTTCAAATCCAAGCACCGCTGTAGCCGATAGACGTCCTTTTTCTTCTCCAATATGCAACGATATTGACTACGAGCTGCATAATAGCCTTCAGGTATTGAAGCTCCTTTTCTCAAGTTTCGTATGCACTGTGATGAGATATTTTTGTACAGACTGCATTCTTCATCGAACCACAAGTCAAGTTTACTGAGATGGTGTGCAATTGCCATGGGTGTGGACCTCATTTCATTGGTCATTACTTGCTTTGGTGTCATTACTTTATCAGCGTCTTCGACGTTGCAACTGCTGTTGAGAATGCCATCACAATCTGGCGGAATGGTAGCCATTC